TATATATATGTATGTCACGACCCGAAAATCTCACCCTCGGGACCGTGATACCGTTTAACATTTCACTTGCTAGGCAAGCCAACATTAGAATAGTTTATCCATTTTATTATAGTTCAAATTAAATAATAATAATAAAATGAAATAACTGACTTAAAATTTTGAAGTAGAGTGCGAAAAATCAAAACAACTGAAATATCTAATACAACCCCGAATCTGGTGTCACAAGTGCACGAGTTACTAGAAGTTCTATAAATAGAGTCTGAAATAAATACAACTGTTTCGAATGAAATGAACAGTAAAAGAGGAAAGAGGAAGGAGACTTCAAGGTCTGCAGACATCCATAGATCTATCTCAAGTCTCCGAATGTGATAATCAGTGCTAGTGCACTTCACGTACAGCTGGGATCGGTGCCAAAATCCGCACAAGAAGTGCAGAGTGTAATATGTGTACAACCGACCCAATGTACTCCGTAAGTGTCGCGCCTAACCTCGACGAGGTAGTGACGAGGCTATGACAGGACACTCACGCAATTAAACATATACAAACATAGATATATGTACCAAACATAAAAAAATAGAGATTTAGTATGTACAGTTGGGAGGGGACATGCGAAAGGGGGACAAGATACGATAATTACAACAGGAATGACAACACAAGACAGTCAAATAAATCATCAACCAACAAACACGGATAAACATACAGAATAAAGAAATGAACCTATACCAAGTTCCGGAACCCCAATCCGGATCCGGTAGTAATAAAGTCAAACTACAGTCAAATTTGGAATTTCTTTAAACCTTTAAACTTCTAGTTTTCAACAAATGGCGATAATTCGAGTTAGGGACTTCGAATTCGATTCCAGGCATACGCTCAAGTCCCAAATCACAATATGGACCATCCGGAGACTGAAAATATTGGTGCAGGTTAGCTCTCTGTTGACATTGGCTTATGATATCAGTTAGCGTTTCTTTAAAATTTTCAGGTTTAGTTTCAGCTCTTATTTGAGCTAGTTTCATATGCATTTTCCCTAAAATATAGGAGCTAACTACTGAATTATATAAGACAATATGACTGGCTAGTAATCAATACTGCAGTAGGAACTATATGTAAATCTTAGTCCCCATATAACTAGTACTATATGAACCCAAAAAAATTGGAAAGAATGAGAATAGCACATTGATAAATAAATCGTCTTTGTTATAGGTAAAGCTCACACTTGCAAAATTTATAATATTTTACATATATTCACCATTGGAAATACATCCATAGAAGGAGAGTGCATATATAATATATTCTTGAAACACAACATTCTTTATTTCACACGCAGCTAGCTAGAACTAGCCAATATTGCCAAATACACATTACACACACAGAGATATGTATATATGTGTGTATTAACATACATACATACATACGCATAGATTATATTACTTGAGAAGGTGACCCTCTATATCTTTGGTCACATGTAGGGCATAACCCAAGAAAACGAGAGGCTCTAGGGTGTCTTCAGTTTTCTTCTCGTACTCAAGTGTCCATGTAGTCCATTGGTGGTCATGGGATGTGATAATAGTGAAGGAATTGTACAACTCTAATAGATCTCCTCCAATCACTTTCCAAGTGATTGATTTCTTCTGATAATCCGCGGCTTCAATCACTTGCTTACATATCTTATCTTTTCCATCTGTAATCGAAAAAGTTCAAAAATACATGAGATGTTACTCCATGTTCAATAGTCCAGTTCCTCATATAAAAGATATAAACATTCAGAATAACATATTTTCTTCTCATTTCTTTTTTTTTTTCCTTTGTTTTTCATTTTCATTTTCTCCAAAATTTATTTGAAGCTCACGGAGATTGAACGTGCTATATTTTTTCATGAATAGAATTATCGTTAAAAATCTCAAAAGAACATTTGGCATTGTGAAACAAATTGAATTACTAGGTAAAAAAGCTTTAAATTGATTATATTGAGTTTGGTATGACAAAAGGAATTTTCTTTGAGAAATATGTTTTTAAAAAGCATTTGGTAAAATATTTCCAGTACTTGGTAATTGGTGAATGAAAACTATTCTACGTATATATTATATTGAATGCTAGTAATAATATTAGCAAATAGAGTGTTAAGAAGTTTTTGAGCATTATCAATAATATGTCTAATATGTCTTAATATTAGTTGGACCATGTAATATGAAGTCAAACATTAAGATAGTTATTAGAAAAGTGACTTTTGTCAAAAAGATTTTCCCCAATTTGATGTAAAACATTTTATGGTAACCAAAAACATCATCAAATAATGTTTTCACGAAAACTATTTTTTGAATAAAACCTTTTTGACATACTAAATACACCCCAATGCGAAAATTGATACAAGTAAATAATATATATACATAGAGAAGAAATATCAATTATATACCATCGTTATATTTCCAGTTAACAATCGAACCAACTTTTATGGTTTCACCTTCATCAATAACAACTTTGTGGACCTTACCGGGACTTATGTTAGATATATGATGAGTAGAGGTGTGAAAAATATCATGAATCGAGTGTCCTCCACACTTCACCTCTACTGAAGCAATCAACTTGCCTTTTACACCCATATTTTCTTCTTCGATATAGAAGAAAAGTTTTGAAAAGGAAGTGGTGAAAAAAAGTTGAGAGACTGTAGGCTTTATATAGATTATATTCTTAGTTTCTATTATTATTATTAAATAAATTATGTTCTAGTTATCTGCATGAAAAGCTAGTATAAAACATGATCCATGACAACTCATGTTTTTTATTAGTGGAGATGGAAGATTAATGCTAGCTCATTACGTATACAATTAGGTCTTGCTAAGTTAGTGTTGCCCTTCACCATAAAATTTTAACCATTAGATTTATTTTTAAAAAGGGAAAAGGTCTAATTTTTCCCCTAAAGTATTCGATTGAGAGCGGATTTGTCTTTCATTAAAAAAGTAGCCTATTCGTACCCCTTCCGTTATACAAATAGTTCAGATTTACCCTTTTCGTCGAACGAAAGTAAATTATTTAAATTAAATGCCACCTAGAATTTTAATTAACTCTTAATCTAACTAGTAGACCCCCCCCCCCCCCCCTCCTTTCCTATCGGTAGCAACGTCAAAAAGACCACGGTCTCATCATCCATCGGAGTTATATTTCTAGCTAGGTCGTGACCAACAAAATCAAGGTCGTAGTTGGTTAAAATATTTTCAATGATGGAACTCTCCTTTTTTTTTTAGATATGATAAAGGGATTCATGGGGTGATGAAGATGTGAAGCTGCGGCAATGAGAACTAAATCGGAGAAAATCGATTCATTTGCCCTGGGAAAATGAAGAGAAAAGAGGAAGGAAGAAGGAGGTCCCAGCCGGAAAATTTTCTGGTGAGGTTCAAGATGGTGCTCCCATGGTATTTGTGTAAGAAGAAGAGTGAAGGGAGTAAGGGAAAAAAGGGGGCGGCTATGAGTTAAAAAATGAGAGAGGGTGATAAAAATTAGGGCTTGATAGATAAGAGGGTTAACTAAATGTATTGGAATATTTTTAACTAGAAAAATAAGTTTTAATCTGACTAGTTCACTTGTGTTAGCCAAAAGGGGTAAATCTGAGCCATTTGTGTAACGGCAAGATACGAATAAGTCACTTTGTGTGGAAGGATAAATCTACTCTAAATCAAACTATGGGTAAATTTAGACATTTTTCCTTTTAATAATGTGGAGATAAAGTTTACAGCTTGCCACAAGGGATTCATTTTATAGTCAAGTTTGAGACTTTCAACTAAGAGAATCTTTACTCAAATCTCACAAAAGTATGAATTAGTTTTACTATTATTGTTTTTTAAAAGTTGTAATTGCTCTAAATATTTTTTTGTTCTTTTAGCTTAACTTCATAACAATATTATATATATTCAAGGTAGAAAAAGAGACGGGGATATGAATTATATGGAACACGATGCATTATTCATGAGATAAGTCAAGCAGTCTATTAAGATTCTTTTTTCATGTTATTAAGCATGAGTAGTTAAGTGGGAGGTACAACTTTAGAACCAATCTACCTAATACCTTACTCAAAGCGAAAAAACGAGAAGAAAAGTCGTTCATAAGAAATTATTGATCTTTAATGAATTACAATATTAAAAATAAATTGTATCTATTTAAGGTAGAGAAAGAGATAGATACGTGATTTATAAGGGAAAAGGATGCGTTGTCCATGAAACATTATGTTCATGGTATTAATGGCAGTAATTGGTGAGGAACAAACGTTATATAGACGAACAAATCTAGCTACTTACCTTACTCCAAGCAAAAGTATAGCACGGTGATATTTGGCTACATATGTTATATTTTTTAGTACATTGCTTACCTTACATTTTGATGTTTAATGTTAATATGTGCGACGTTTGAAATTAATTAAGTAATTTTTATGTGTAGGATCATTGAAATATGAAGATGATTGAAGGTTCCACACAAGGATGTCGAAAATACAAGAAAAGAGCACGAAAAGGCGAAAATCGGAAGAAGCCAAGAACCAGGCACCAGATGAGGTGACGCATGGCTCTTGGCAACCAATATCTCGCACCCAGCCTCGCGAGGCGAGGTTCCCAGTGCGCCACAGGCTGGGCCTCGCGAAGTCTGGTGCCTAGTACTCCCCCAGTCCGCGAATTAAATATTTCCTACTCGATTTTGGACTTGGAGACTCCGACTCTAACCTATAAATACTTCTTAAACGTGTTTAGTGAAGGGTTGGATGATTTTGGAGGCAACAAGCGCTTAGGAACACAACGGAGCACGGATTTCAATGTTTCTTCCATCCTCCATCTCGTATTCATAGCTTTTATATTTGAAAATAATATTTTGGTTATTGCTACGAACATGAGTGGATGGAAACCCTTTTGTTCTGGAGTTATGGGTTGTTATTGACCATTATTGTTTGACGATTGATGATATTACATGATTCTATCATATTAATTTGTTTATTCATTCTTGCGCTGAATTATTTTATTACATAGCTAACAATATAATACTATCTATGAATTTATAATTGAACGCGAAAGGGGGAACTATAGATTGTATATATGATTGAATAGACTAAGTTCTTGAATCCGGGCATCAGAGAATATATTCACGATTAGGATAGACATATTTTAATTGTCTTACTTGGTTATTTTTGCAGGAGATAGTTAATTTTAATTCTATAGATGTATAGTATTAGGTTGGCTTGACTAGGCAGGTGAGGCGTCGAAAGAACTTTGCGAGCATAATAAACCCTGTTAACCAATAAATTAGATAGATCAAGTAATTAAATCAACTGAAAAAACACAATAGGAGAGATATTTATCCCATAATCCCGAAAATATTTCAAGCAGAACATTAGCCTAAAGAATCTCACACATCTCCATGCCTTTGTTGATGTCACGACCCAAAATTCCAACATCGGGGGTGTGATGACGCCTAACGGCCACTTCCTAGGAAAGCCAATATTAGTTAAATAATTTAATAATTAAACAATTCAAACAGAATAATATCAATTATTAATGAAGATTAAAGCTGAAATACATGAAATAAACCCATAACATAATGCTCTCTAACTCAACCCCAGAAGTCTGGTGTCACAAGTACATGAGCAACTAGAAGTCTATAAGTATAGTTTGGAATAAATACAACTATTCGAATGAGATAAGCAGTAAAGATAGGAAATGGAAAGGGATTTCAAGGTTTGCGAACGCCAACGGATCTACCTCAAGTCTCCGAAGCAATGTGATCCGAGAAGACGCACCTCTAAGGACCGCTGGGACCAATACCAGTATCTGCACAAGAAGTGCGGAAGTGTAGCATGAGTACAACCGATCCAATGTACTCCATAAGTGTCGAGCCTAACCTCGACGAGGTAGTGACGAAGCTATGACAAGACACCCACGTAAAAACTATGTACAAATATATTTAAAGCAGCAAAATAACAAGAAGAACAATAAAATATTAACTAGGAGGGGACATGCGAAAGGGAAAACAACATAAAAACGGCAAATACGAAACCACAAAATAAAGTCTTCCGAAATAAGCAACAATATAACCAAGTAAATCACCAAAACCGGAAATCAAATAAGGTAACGAAATGAAAATGACATGGCATCACCCTTCGTGGTTTTACTTTCGTCCTCACCATATAATAGCATAAATGAAATAACGCGGCATAACCCTTCGTACTTTTACTCACTGGCATGGCATCACCCTTCGTGCTTTTACTCTAAACATCTCTAAATATATGATAATGAATGCAAATAAGGCACATCAATACCATTCGTGCTTTTCACTCTTCCTCACCAATCAACAATACCAATCCAAATAATAAATACAAGGTAGGAAACAATTTCACTTGAATTATAGTGCTAGGATATCAAACTCAATTTTAAAAAATTCCCAACATCTTCAAAATAAACAATAAATATGAGACGAATAATTAAAAGTATTAATCTAACGTAAGCATGGAGAAACAAAGTCACATAAACAACTTAAGACAAAGAAATAATTCTCACCCGCATGCTTTAACCCTATAACAATGCATATGTACTCTTCACCTCACATATACCACTACTAAAAATTCGGGCAAAACCGTCCAAAAAACTGACCAAAGTGGGTTGGAAATGGCCAAAAACCGTCCAAAACGCGACCATTTACGTGTGGAAGATATTTGAAGGTCGGAAGGGCATACCGACCAAAGTTGGTTGGAAATTCGGTCAATTAAATTCAAAAAAAGAATTGCCGAAAAACCCGACCAAAGTTGGTCGGTATTTTAATTATGTAATTAAAAAATACACCACCTGAGAATCGAACCGGGGTCTGTACTGTGGCAAGATACTATTCTACCACTAGAGCATTTGTGCATTTTGTTTTAAGACTGTCTTTTATTTTATTTATACTCTTTAATTGTATTTTCACACGAAAATAACCGCCCAAAGTTGGTCGATTTTATTAAAAAATAAAATTACCAATCGAATTTGGTCGGTTTTTTAAAATGACCAGCCGAATTAACCGACCGATTTTGGTCGGTTTTTTAAATATTAATATTAATTTATTTTAAATGAAAAACCGACCAAAGTTGGTCGTTTTCTTGAAAAATAAATTTCGCGTGACTCAAAAATAGTTTTCCGCATTTTTGCGCCAAAGAAAACCGACCAAAGTTGGTCGGTTTCCTAAAAAAAAATTAAAAAATAAAATATTTTGAAAAACCGACCAACTTTGATCGCTTTTTTGGTCGCTGTTTTGACCGACCAAAATTGGTCGGTCAACTGTGGTATGTTTTTGCCGAATTTTTAGTAGTGTACGTTATTCCCACACATAATTCACGTAGCAAATAAATCAACAAGTCTTAATCTCTCAAGTCAAGGTTAACCACGTTACCTCACTCCGCAACCAAATCAATACTCAACCACGGCTTTTCCTCTAGAATAAACCTCTAAACCAATCAAATCTAACCAAATATAGTTCAAATAAGTCAAAATACGCTTTAAAAACTACCCATGAGTGAAAAAGATTCAATCTTTATTGATTTTGGAAAAGGTCAACCTCGGGCCCACTTGGTCAAAACCCAAAATTCGGACAAAAACCCAATTAACCATTCACCCCCGAGCCCGGTTATGTGATTA